CTAGGAGTCCTCATACCCACTACTGTCGTTATCTTCCCTAAACCTGTTCCTCCCCCAGGTCCCCACTTCAAGGACATTTATCCTACTCACCCTTCAGGTCTCACCCTGAGTGTCACCTCTTCTAGAAACTCTCCCTGATTCCCTTCCCAACCCTGGGCCTTATCCTAGACCCCCACACATGGCCTCCTGAATCTCTGCACCCTTCCTTCCTCCCTTCTACCTCCACCCCTAGCAGCTCTGACCTGATATGTCCTACCTGGGTCCCCCTCAAGCCACTTGGCTCTCAGCCTCCACTCAATCCTTCCAATGCCCCTTCCATGTGAATTTGGCTTGTTCCTCCTCTGCTCAAAAACTGTCTGTGGCTCCCAAGCATTCTCAGGAAAAAGTTCCAACTCCTAACTGTGGCTCTCAGAGTACTGAGTGACTTCCTTTTTTTTTGAGACAGAGTCTCAAGCTGTAGTCCTGGGTATGGTGCTGTGGTGTCATAGCTCACAGCAACCCTTCCACCTCTGGCTCAAGCAATCCTCTTGCCTCAGTTCTTCTATTTTTAGTAGAGATGGGGGTCTCGATTTTGCTCAGGCTGGTCTCAAACTCGTGAGCTCAAGCAATCCACCTGCCCCGGCCTCCCAGAGTGCTGGGATTACAGGTGTGAGCCACAGCGCCTGGCCATGAATGATCTTCCCTTAAGGACCTCTTTGGCTTATTTTCTCACCATTTTTTACATCCCAGCCAAATTTAGTATCTTCTGGTTCCTTGAATTGAAACCACGCCAAACATTCCCCCACAGTTGTTTCCCTGCCAAACACACCTTTCACTCCACTTCACATACCACGTCCTCCACGAAGCCCTCTGGGTTCCCATAGTCCCTTAGGCCCCCATCCTACCCCAACCTCACTGCCCCCCATCCCCTCTGTGCCATAAGTGCCTGGTGACTGGGCTGTCTCAGTCACTGCTGTGTCCCCAGTACCACTGAGTACAGGAATAAGTACATACCAGATGCTCAGGGCCCAAGTTCATTTATTTATCATTCAACTAATATTTATTCAGTAACTATTCCCTAACAAGCCCTGATCTAGAAATTGGGGATACCACACAAAACAGAAAAAAAATTCCTCCCAAAGATACTATTCTACTGGGGAGTGAGAATAAATGAGTGAAACACATGGTTTGTGCTTTGGAGAAAAATAACGCAGGAAGAGGGGGACAGCAGTTGGGAATGGCTGATGGTCTAGCTCAAAAACATGACAAGTCTGGGGCAAAGGAGCAGTGTCATCCCTGTTTTTCAGACGAGGCCACAGGGCTTGGGGGAGTCACCTGCTCAGGTTTGTTGGCTGGGAATGTGAACCCAGAACTCAGTTCTGCTCCAGGATAGTGCACTGTTAAACCAAATCCTAAACCAAGAAAAAAAAACAAGACAGAACCTCCCTGTGTGGTGCCTCATGTGAGGGACCTAGCCACTCAAGGGAGGTGTAAACTTGTGACAGTGCCAGATGAAGGGCAAGAGGGCAGAGCTTGTTTATTGAACCAGGCACTGTTCATAGCACTGTATACTATATATTCTTTTTTTTTTTTGAGACAGAGTCTGACTTGGTCACCCTTGGTAGAGTGCCAGGGCATCACAGCTCACAGCAACCTCAAACTGTTTGGGCTTGAGCGATTCTCTTGCCTCAGCCTCCCAAGTAGCTGAGACTATAGGAACCCGCCACAACGCCTGGCTATTTTTTGGTTGTTGTTGTCATTGTTGTTTAGCAGGCCCAGGCAGGGTTTGAAACCACCAGCCCCAGTGTATGTGGCCAGCATACTCTAACCACTGAGATACAGCACCAAATCAGTTTTTTTTTTTTTTTTTAGACAGAGTCTCACTTTGTTGTCCTAGATAGAGTGCTGTGGCGTCATAGATCATAGCAACCTCAAACTCTTGGGCACAAGCGGTCCTCTCGCCTTAGCTCCCAAGTAGTTGGGACTATACATGCCCACCCACAATACCCAGCTTATATTGTATATTCAGTTCTCATGGCAGTCTTTTTTTTACATCCCACTTAACAGATAAGGGTACTTAATACCCAGAGAGGTTAAGTTGTTAGCACAAAGGCATATACCACAAATGGTGGTGCCACAATTTCAACCCAAGCTGCCTTGGTGTTCCAAGGATGAATGCCCGGCAACAGCTGCCTCACCTGCCCTCCCCAACAGCTAGTGAACCCCCAGGTGGCCTTGATCTCTCAAAACCTCCATCAGTACACCTCTCACCCTCCACATCTTTGATATATATATATATATATTTTAGATGGGTCTTGTCTTGTTGACCAGCTGGTCTCAAGCAATCCTCCCTCTTCAGCCTCCCAAGTAGCTGAGACTACAGGTGTGAGCCAACTCTGACAAGTATATTTGAAGCTTTTTCCTAATATAAAGGATATGTGAGTGCAGCTTGAAGACTCTGGCTCTCTTTCCAAAAAGGCTGCCTCTTGCCAATCCCCCTGGGTAGGAGTTCTGGAGCTGGTGATGTTGCTCAGGGTGATGGCTTCATGTCACATTGGATTGTGTTCCTCCTCTGCTCCAAATTCTCCATGGCTCATCCTCAGAGGAAAAGCCAATCTTCCCCATGGCCCAGGAGGCCCTACCACAATGTGCCCTCATGACCCCTCTGATCTCATGTCCCTCCCCCACTGAGCTGCTTGCTATTCCTTAAATATTCCAAGCATGCACCTACCTCAGGGCCTCTGCATTTGCTGTCCTGACTAGAATGTCTCCCTCCAGATAGCCATGTCACTCTCCTCTCCTCAGAAAACCTTCCCTGACTATTCCATTTAAAATACAACCTTGACCCCACATTCTCCATCCCCATTCTAATTCCAAATAAGCTACTTACCTGTTTACTCACTGTCTCTTACTAGAATGTAAACCCCATGTGGCCAGGTATTTTTGTCTGTTTTTTTTTTTTTTTTTTTTGTTTGTTTTGTTTTTTTTGAGACAAGAGTCTCACTATGTTACCCTTGGTAGAGTGCCGTGGCGTCACAGCTCACAGCAACCTCCAACTCTTGGGCTTAATTGTAGTACAGTGCGAACCACTGTACTACACTGCCTTGCTAGGATAAGCTGAATGAAGAAGACACTTACCTCCATGCCATAGATTCAGGACTGCTAAGGTTTAACTAAAGTGTAGGTGAACCTGCCTCTTCTCTCCCTAGCTCCAATTCTCAAAGACCAGGGAGGTCCATGGTTATGTTACTGAAGAGTCTCCCCTCACCAAGCCCTCCTTGACCCCCATGGCACTAGCTCAATGCTATCATTTTTTTAGGGCTGGGGGAATCACTTAATCTAACAGGATAAAGAGATAAGTATTGAATATTTACAGAAGCAAGGTTTGTGATGGCTGATTGGCCACCCCTCTGCTTTGGTGACATTGCAAAGGTGAAGGCAACATGGAGATCGTGGGGTGGTGTTACTATGGCAGAGGAACTGGTGATAATGAGGAGTGTGATGACACCATGGGAATGATGAGGACAGCTGGGGAGAACAACTGTAAGGAGGTGATAAAACTGATTAGATGAGGGGCAGTGCCTGCAGCTCAGAGAGTAGGGAGCCAGCTCCATATACTGAGGGTGGCAGGTTCAAATCTGGCACCGGCCAAACTGCAACAAAAAAATAGCTGAGCGCTGTGGCAGGTGCCTGTAGTCCCAGCTACTCTGGAGGCTGAGGCAAGAGAATTGCCTACGCCCAAGAGCTGGAGGTTGCTGTGAGCTGTGATGCTGTGATGCCATGGCACTCTACCAAGGGTGACAAAATGAGACTGTCTCTAAAAAAAAAAAAAAAGTGATTAAGTGATTAGATGAGGATGACATGGTTAATTACAGTATTTGCCAAAAGGCCACAATGAACTCAGCATGTCACACGAATAAATTCACAGAATCTGCATGTTCATCCTGGATGTAGGTGTCCCTAACGTGCATTTTACGGAGGAGAAAGCTGAGATTGGAAAGGTGAGATAAGGTGGTCAAGGTCACCCAGAGGTTTAGTGATACAACTGGGATTCTGGCACCACCTGGATAATAGGCTGTAGGACCCGTATGGTAGGTGGAGGTGGGATGTTACACGTGACATGGGGAAATGAAGGGGACATGGAGGAAAGAAAAACAACTGTAAGTCTGGGTGGCTCCTTATGGGGAAAATTGGAAGAATGAGGCATTGATAGTGACTGTCTGAGATGCAATGATGACATGGAAGGAGGTAAGACATAAAGGGTAATTGACGGGAGGGTTGCCTGAGTGAGATTTAAGGAAGGAGATGGAAACAAGCAACTCTCCGAAGGTGACATGGGGGTATGATGACGATTTAAGAGAAATGAGAACGTTATAAAGAAATGGCAACAAAAGAGGGGTGCAGGCGACATACGAAGGCTACAAAGACTTAAAAGGGGGACGACTGCGACATATAAGTGGAACGGAGGAGAGCTAAGCGGGCTGACAGCGACACGAGGGCTACACAACAGCGGTGACGATTTATGCAGGATGCACCACAAGGGAGGAATGGGGACGTATAGGGACTGAGGACTACATAAGGAGAGGGAGGCATTTTAGATGGAAGGACGACACAAGGAGACAGTCGTGGTGCCGCGCCCTCACATTGCACAGTACCTGCTGTTCACGTCTCCCCGGGTCTCAGCCCCAAGCGCACCTTCTACGTTAGAGCCCCGCCTGATCACCCCCATTCGCGCGCAGGCGCACTCCGGCCGGACTGCGGGCAGCCGGAGGGCGTGGAGGAGGGCATCCGTCTTTCTCATTGGCGGTGCTCCTAGCTAGCGTCCGGAACAGGGCGGTGCTCTGGGGGCGCGGGGCGGAGAGAGAGAATGAGAAAGAGAGACACACACAGAGACGGGGCCGGTCACGTGACGGTCACCGCTGCACTCTCTCTGGTGGCGAACTGGAGGGCTAGAGAGACCGCGGACCGGTCAGGGCGGCTTCCGGCAGGGAGGGCGACGCTTCCGGGGAGGGCAGCCGAGCCGAGGGAGGAGTGTCTGACAGTTGGCGCCGCTGGGAGGGACGGCGGGCGGCGCGAGTAGGCGCGGGCCCGGTGGGCCAGGTGAGGTGTGGGCCCGTGGTGGTGGGATTGGGACGGATGCGGTGGGGACGGGTGGCGTCCAGAGCTCTGGAATTACAATGCGAGCTCAGCTGTGCGGATACGGACAAACGGTTTGTTTCTCTGAGCCTCAGTTTCCTCCTCTGTAGAATGGGGGTCAGAATCCGACTGTAGCACCAGCTTCATGGGTTGGAGTGAAAAGTCAGCTCGTGCACGTCAGAACCCCTAGCTCAGCGCCTGCGGGTAGTGCTCACTTCGTTGCTGTACCATTGTTAGCATTGATGCTTGCGCTGGTGTGAAAAATTGTTGGGTTTGGAGACCGACGGATTTCGGTTCAAGTCCCAGCTCTACTGTGCGACAATGGGCCTGTGCCTTCCCTTTCCTGAACCTTATGTTTCTTATCTATACAGTGAGGGCTAATAAGTCCCAATATCATAGGGTCATTTTGAGGATTCTATTGAAACGTATGTATAAAGCTTTTAGCACAGGTTCTGGCACAATTAGAGTTCATGGACTAGGACTATAATGATAATGATTCTGAAAATCCGTCCCCAGGAGGAATTGGGTTGGGTTGGGTGTTTTGGTTTTTCTACTTATTTACTTATTTATTTTGAGACAGAGTCTCAAGCTGTTGCCCTGGGTAGAGTGATGTGTTGTCATAGCTTACAGCAACCTCCAACTCTTGGGTGCAAGCAATCCTCTTGCCTCAGTTTTTCTATTTTTAGTTGAGATGGGGGGAGGTGTCTCGTTTTTCTGCTCAGGCTAGTTTCGAACTGGTGAGCTCAAGGAATGCACCCACTTCAGCCTCCCAGAGTGCCAGGATTACAGGCATGAGCCACTGCGCCTGACTTTCTTTTTCTGAAGCAGGGTCTCCTTATTTTGCCTGGTTAAGAGTGCAGTGGCATCATTGTAGCTCACTGCAACCGCAAACTCTTGAGCTCAAGCAATCCTCTTGCCTCATCCTCCCAAGTAGCTGGGACTATAGGTGAGAACATCATGCAGCTAGTTTTTACTATTTTTAGTAGAGTCTGGGGCTCGCTCTTGCTCTTTAGTAGAGTCTGGGGCTGGTCTCGAAATCTTGAGCTCAAGCCATTCACCTGCCTTGGCCTCACAGAGTGCTAGAATTACAGGCATGAGGCACCAGGCCTGGCCTAGTTTCTAGAATTTTTTTGTAGACAGAGGTTTCTTGCTCTGTTGTCCAGTCTGGTTTCAAAATCCTGGCTTCACGGGATCCTTTTGTCTCAGCCTCTCAAAGTGCTGGGATTATACTGTACCTGGCCTGAACTGGGGTTTTAAAGATAATTTTAGTGGGCAGGGGGCTAGAGAATTGGCATGGGTAATTGGCTAGGTGGGGGTGTGTGTGAAACTATAGGGATGTAAGAACTGCGTTCCTGCACTGAGTCAGTTTCTTGGCAGGGGTCATAGGACTGGCTGGCCCGTTGGAATGCAGGGTCTGGAAAATATCTTAAAAACAGTCTTAGATTGAAGGTGTTATCTATAAGACTGATTAAAGCAGTGGTTCTCAACCTTCCTAATGCCGCAACCCTTTAATACCGTTCCTGTGGGTCGCGACCCACCAATTGAGAACCACTGGATTTAAAGGAAGTTATAGGACTTTGTGATGAAAGACTCTTAAGCAGTAAACATATACAAGGGAGTGGGCTATGGGGCAAGAACTGGTTAACATTTAGCTGTGCTTCTTTAAGACATGTCCTTGTTAAAATCCCAGCAACTTGGTTTGGATTAATTTTATAAGGACAGTTTCAGGAGGAAGTTCAGAGATAGCAAGAGGAAAAACTTAGAATTGGAGCTGGGAAAATTGACATCCTGCTGTTTACTACTGGGCCAGTTTTGTTGTGTCTTGTAGTATCAGATTTCTCTTTCTCTAGAAACAACTAGTATATTTCTCTCTAGTCAATTTCAGAAAGAAAATTTGCATTGCTATTTTAATGGAAAGCTAGCATTGCTGGCTCTAAATGGAAGGAAAACTGGCTCAGAGTCTGTAGCACTACTGTGTTTCCCTGAAAATAAGACACTGTCTTATATTTATTTTTTCTCAAGGAGACACACTAGGCTCGGCACCTGTGGCTCAAGTGGCTAAGGC